ATGGTAATCCAGGGGGCACCTCGGGCCAGAGGCACATATACCCAGAGATCCGATGTTGTGTTTTTTTCGATGCGGGGTCCCCCGAAGTCCCGACCCTTTCCCCAGGGCCCCACTTTGGCATCCCGAGTTGTTTTTTGACGGTCCTGGGGCCCAGCGAGGGCCTCCAGACGCCGAAAAGGTGCGACACAGTTCTGTCCAAGACGGCGGTTTTTCGCCCTTGCCGTGCGCGACGTTCGTGGCGCAACTTGATGGCCACGTTAGGAGCTGCGCCGCAAACATGGGAGAGCCGCCCTCTGAAATGGAGCGTTCCAATCGAGCAGCGTACCATATGTGTGAGAGAGACGGGCTTCGCCTCCAATCGCCTCGTTTGGGAAGCGTGCGTTCCCTCCCAATTTGCGTCCCCCCCCTGCCAGTAACATTCACTTGACTGTGGAATTTTTGAATGCTGTGGATCTCTGGGGCCGACAACGCGAAGCCGAAGACAGCCCGCACGCCAACGGCAGCGAGCTCTGGGGGGGAGTGAGAAGGAGTAGGCCTTTTCAGAAGGCTCGGAAGTCCCCCGGGTTTTTGAGAAGTTCCCGAAACCTTCTCTAGGGACATTGAAAACCTTTCGGAAAGCCAGCGCGCTTCAGAGAAGTCCCGCCGCCTTCTGAGATCCTTGAGATCCGACGCGGCGAAACATTCACAGCATCGTTGCAAATCACTCCCACAACCCTGGACCCCATCCTTCTGCGCCATTTTCGAGCTTGGTCGACCTGCGAGGCTCCCAGGGCCCGAGAACAGAGGCGGCAGCGCCTGGTTCGAAAACGAAATTGCGACTCCAGGATCTCAGGGAAGGTCTTTTCCTCCTCACTTCCCCCCTTTGCTCGCCGCCGACCCTTGGTTTAAGTCGGGCATGTCCCTCTACAGGAGGAACATTCAAACATGGTACTGACATAGTCGGGGGGCGTTTTTTTGCCGCATTTCCGTATCAGTGTGATTTTCCACACACACACACCAACACCACAACACAACACAACACAACACAACACAACACAACACAACACAACACAACACAACACAACACAACACAACACGACACGACACAACACAACACAACACAACACAACACAACACAACACAACACAACACAACACAACACAACACAACACAACACAACACAACACAACACAACACAACACACACACACACTTTTTAAGTGTCTTTCAAAATCCGCTTGTAATAGGACGTGCCCGACCTCACCCAGGGTGCAGCAGCGCCTGCCACGCGCGCCCTCCTCCTCCTCCTCCTCCTCCTCCGCCTCCTCCTCCTCCTCCTCCTCCTCCTCCTCCTCCTCCTCCTCCCCTCCGTAGCCATTTTGGCTCAAGGCTCATGGGAACGAAGTGGATACCGCTAGTCCGCGGCCAGACCCCCGTCACCTCCGCCAGGTCCGCCCCTGGTGTGGAGAACGGTGCCAGAGCACCGTTCCGCTTTGCTCGTTCCCCTCTCGGCTCGGGCGGACTTCGCTATGCGTAGCGGGTCCCGCCGCGATGGTGCTTGCAAGTGGACGTGCAGGTTCTGTACGCATCCGACGAGTGGGAAACCGTGGTGGACGGAGCTCCGACGTCTTCATGCGGCAAGTGCGGGGGGCGCAAGGGTATCGCTTTCGGCAAGAAGAGGTCTAAGCACGTGGAGACGGTCCAAGGACTGCAGCTGTGGCGCCGCGTCTGGAAGGTGGTGACGCTGGAAGTGAACGTCCGCGTCCCTGGCCCACTCAGCCAGCTGCTGGCGGAGATGCGTGCTGGCAACATCTCGGACGCGATGTGGTCCTTGTACACCAGTCGCATACTATCTTCTGGCGACACCCGCCCGCGCGATCCCGCGTCGCCCTTCTCCACACACCCCTGGACATACATCGTCCACAGGCACAAGATTCGCGTCTACCGATCAATGCAGAACGCTAAGCAGCAAGCGCTGCGGACGGGCCGCCGCCTCTGCGCGGTCCAAGCCCGCGACGAACCAGTGGACCCCGCCGACGCTCACAAAATGACAGAACAGGTCCATAGAGACCTCCTGCAGAGGGTTAGCCCGAAAGATACGCAGGACTTGCCGAGTCTTTTACCGCTGATGCGCCTGCCTGTGACTATGTGCTCCAAAGACTGCGTGCGGCTGGGCCTCATGAAGGGCTGCGTCTGCACGCTCCGCCACATTGTCTTCGCCAACGGGGAGCCGTTCCAGTCGGACCCAGTGGACGAGAACGTCGTGCACGTGCAGTTCATGCCCGTTTCCCTCTGGCTGCAGGCTGACGGCGGCGACTGGGCATTTCCTGCGGCCGAATTGGCTGCGGACCTCCCAACCTGCACGGACCGGCGCGGCTTGTTTCAAATGAGACCGACGTGACGTGCGGGTATTTGCGCGCGGCGTGGGAGCAGGGGCACTTCTCTGTCCGCCGCACCACTTACCGTTTATTGCCGGCAGATACGATTATTGTGTACGGAGCTCAGGGGGGCACATACGTAGCCGTGGTGGCTGACATGAAGAAGCCGCCTTCCATGGACGCAGATACGCATTGGCTGGCGTGCTGCGTGATGCTCTCGCGCGCAATCTCCGTGGAGAGCCTTTTCATCCTACGCCCGGCAACCAGACGAGAACTTTCCCGAAAGCCGCCGAAGTTCCTGCTAGACGAGATTACAAGGCTGGCCGACTTGGAGATGTCGTCGCTCGATGACCTCATCCGCACTTGGCGGGGCATGACTGGAGATGCCTTGCCCGACGACCTGATGGACCACGTCCTCGCGAGCGATGGCGCGTCGCGCCAGGCATCCCGGGTAGCCTCATTCCGAGCTAACCGCCCTGCAAGACACCAGCAGTGCGCGACAGCTCTTCCGCCGCTCTCGCGCCCCGAGGAGGTCCGCAGTGTGCGTCGTCGAACGCGCGGGAAGACGCCGCCGCCAACGCTGCTGCCGCAGGCGGGAGACACGAGGGACGCCGGCGGCAGCGCGGCGGAGCAAGCCAAGACACTGTCTGCGCTTCCCCCATTGAAGACGCCGCGGCTAACGGAGAGTACCGCGGCGCAGGTGCCGCCGCCGCCCATAGCGCAGGACTCTGTCCCAGGAATGGCAGTCGATGCACCTACTGGCCATCGGGCGCAGTCCAGGCACCCAGCGCCGATTGACGACGCTCTCTTCGACGCGGCACCACCGACGACACGAACGCCGTCTCCGAGCGCAACCTCACCGTCGATGGTTCCGTCGTCTGCATCCGTCCGCCCGTGCGGCGAATGCGGCTCGCCGGAGTGCTGCGTCGACAACGAGCGGTGCCCCTTCTTCCTGCTATCACCTGCGTCCAACTCGCGCGCCCGACTGCAGTGGGCATTTGGCGCCACCCACGCCGTGTCAGACGCACTTTGCACCCGCGTTGCAAAAGTTGGATCTTCCAGTTGTTCCACGATGTCCGTGCACAGCGTCGAGTTCGGCGGCCGCGGCGACTGCCTCTTCTACAGCATCGCTGGAGTGCTAGCTCGCATGGTCGTCGCTGGTGGCCCACCTGCGCGCCACATATTGAAGACTATCATCGCGAGTTTTCCTCCAGGGCAAGGATGCCGTCATGCGAGCACTCCGACAACTGTCCGCTCGCATATACCTGCGCTGGACACCGGGGCAGGTGCTTGACTTCGTAGTGTCCGCCTGTATGCAGCGCCGCACGGGGATGCATGAAGACCTGTGGGTTCCACTCGATGTTCTTCGCCAGTGCTCTCTGGACTGCCTCGTGCACGTGGAGGGCGTGCTCGCGTTCGAGGAAAGATCCGACGGGAGTGCCGTTGCCCGGGTGGCCGCGACAGCTGCGCGACGTGGAGGAGGCGATCGCGACGAAAGCCTGATCAGCATGCCAGACGGCACGGCGCGACTGCAGCACCTTCGACAAAGCATTGCAGCTTGCATGGCCCAGCCTGGAAATATGCACCGGGGCTCACAAACAGACGTCAACAGCCTCAGCGAAGCCCTCGACATCGGCATCTTCTTGTTCCGGAACAGATTACCGGCACAGGCCTGGGGTTCCCAAATCGAACTGGACCAGGGACGTCTTGGCTACTCCCTCCGGGCAGCCCCGTCTTGAACCCTCGGGCTCTTGCGCCCGACGGTTCGAGGCTCACTTGCTGCTGCGCGAGAAGCCCAAACTGCCTTGGCCCTCGTCGCGTTTCGGAACCCCCGAGCCAGGCGTCAACTTGCTTACGCAACACGTGTAGCCGGCGCGACGACTACCCTTTCTGGATTTCATTGTGGTGGGGCGAGCCTTTTCATTTCAGAGGTGCTGAACTGCGTATTTCACATCGTGCCAGCGCCCACGCGCACCCATTCACGGAGGCGCAGACGTCCTTCTGGGCAGCCGCAAACGTGCCACCATTTCTACTTCACGAATACGCAGAATGTAACCGCTTGGCGAACTGATCGCAAATCGACCTGCCACTGCACTTGCATTCCCTGCGGACGCGTGCCTACGAGCATGCTGTTGCTGCCGTGCAGCGTTCCGACGCCACGATTTGTGCGCATAGCGAATGACTTATTCCCGTCAATCCTGCAAGCGACAACGAAAAAGCGACGACGAGAAAAACGAGCACGGGAACGAAGACAAGAATGAAAAAAACGGAAGCCACTACGAAAGAAAATGCGTCAACAAATAAGATGGCGTCAGCGACGACAAGTACGCGAATCAACCGTCCACACCTTTGCGAAGAAGAGCGCCTGAGAGGCGCCCACAGAACACCAACAATGCCAGAGGAAACTCCCATATCACCCACGAGAACCCCAAGACTGCCCCAGAGAACGCCAAGATGGCCCAAGATAATGCCCGCATATACTCTCCAGGAGCGCCGGGACAATCTCAGGGGCCAAAGATATTCCTGAGAAGCTCCAGAAAAATACCCACAGGCCTTCAAAAGGCGCCCTAAAGACCACAAGATGGCCCGAGGAGCCCCAAACGGCCCACCAGGTCCATCACGCGCCGAGAGCATGCTGGTCGGA